CCACGGATTTGCTTTATCAATTTATTCATTTCACCGTTTATGACATTAAATTTTTATTTATCTTCATTTTAATTGTAATTTTATCGCTTTAAAATGTTATTTATTATTTATTTTTGATGGCCACGAATTTACCTGTTTATTTATTCATTTATAATGGATTTACATATCTGTTTATTAATTAATCAACATTAATTTACCTGTTGGTTTACCTCTTAATTTGTTAATTTATAATCGATTTCTTTCCCTCTTTTATTAATTAATTAACATTAGTTTACCTGATTATTTACTAATTGATTAACATTAATTTACCTGGTTATTTATTCATTTATCTGTAATTTATTTCCCTGATCTATTATTAATTTATCATTAATCCACCTCTTCATTTAATAATTAGGAATTAATTTAGAATTTATTCACGTCCCTATTTATTTATTAATTCCTTTATTCCATTAATTAATTAATTTAATTTGTTACATTTATTAAATTAACTCATTTTCCCACCCGAGGCACTGCCAGGAATTCCCAAGGTGCTGATCCCGGATTCCTCCCGGTTTTCTGGGATGAATTCCCCAGGAAATGTGGGAATATCCCGGAATTCCGGGAATCCCAGCCCCAGGATTGCGGGATGAGGAAGGGGCCGAGTTTATCCCGGGATTTATCCCGAGTTTATCCCGGGATTTATCCCGAGTTTATCCTGGGAGCGGGGACGGAATTCCGGCTTTTCCCGGGGCTTTATCCCGGGAATGGATGGGTGAATCCCTGGGGGGGCGAAATTTGGGATGGAGCATCTGGGATTTGGGATGGAGCACCAAAGTTTGGGATGGAGCTCCGAAATGTGGGATGGAGCATCCGGGATTTGGGATGGAGCACTGAAATTTGGGATGGAACATCCAGGGTTTGGGATGGAGCACCGAAATTTGGGATGGAGCACCAAAGTTTGGGATGGAGCTCCGAAATTGGGGATGGAGCACTGGGATTTGGGATGGAGCAATGGGAATGTGCAGGTGAGGCCCTGAGGATGAGGAAAATTTGGGATGCGGATTTGGGGACGCGAAGGTGAGGCCCTGAGGGTTGGGCGCAGTTTGGGATCAGCCTCGTCCCTGTCCCTGTCCCTGTCCCTGTCCCTGTCCCTGTCCCTGTCCCTGTCCTGTCCCTGTCCCCATCCCGGGGGGTGACCAGGAGTGACCAGGGGTGACTGGGGGATGGCCAAGGGTGACCAGAGGATCACTGGGGGGTGACCGGGGGTGTCTGGAGGTGACCGGGAATGACCAGGGGGTGACCAAGAGGTGACCATGGAGTGACCAAGGGGTGACTGGGGGATGGCCAAGGGTGACCAGAGGATCACTGGGGGGTGACCGGGGGTGTCTGGAGGTGACCGGGAATGACCAGGGGGTGACCAAGGGGTGACCAGAGGATCACTGGGGGGTGACCGGGGGTGTCTGGAGGTGACCGGGGATGACCAGGGGGTGACCAAGGGGTGACCGAGGGGTGACCTGTCCCTGTCCCCATCCCGGGGGGTGACCAGGAGTGACCAGGGGGTGACTGGGGGATGGCCAAGGGTGACCAGAGGATCACTGGGGGGTGACCGGGGGTGTCTGGAGGTGACCGGGAATGACCAGGGGGTGACCAAGGGGTGACCGAGGGGTGACCATGGAGTGACCAGGGGGTGACCAAGGGGTGACCAAGAGGTGACCATGGAGTGACCAAGGGGTGACCAGAGGGTGACCAAGAGGTGACTGAGGGGTAACTGAGGGGTGACTGAGGGGTGACCGAGGGGTGACCATGAAGTGACCGAGGGGTGACCATGGAGTGACCAAGGCGTGACCGAGGGGTGACCGAAGGGTAACCAGGGGGTGACCAAGAGGTGACCATGGAGTGACCATGGACTGACCAAGGGGTGACCAAGGGGTGACCAAGGAGTGACCATGGAGTGACTGAGGGGTGACAAAGGGGTGACCGAGGGGTGACCCTGGAGTGACCATGGACCGGGGGGTGACCATGGAGTGACCAAGGCATGACCGAGGGGTGACCAAGGGGTGACCGGGGGGTGGGACCATGGAGTGACCAAGGGGTGACCAAGGGGTGACCATGGAGTGACCAAGGCGTGACCGAGGGGTGACCGAAGGGTAACCAGGGGGTGACCAAGAGGTGACCATGGAGTGACCATGGACTGACCAAGGGGTGACCAAGGGGTGACCAAGGAGTGACCATGGAGTGACTGAGGGGTGACAAAGGGGTGACCGAGGGGTGACCCTGGAGTGACCATGGACCGGGGGGTGACCATGGAGTGACCAAGGCATGACCGAGGGGTGACCAAGGGGTGACCGGGGGGTGGGACCATGGAGTGACCAAGGGGTGACCAAGGGGTGACCATGGAGTGACCAAGGGGTGACCATGGAGTGACCAAGGGGTGACCAGGGGGTGACCGGGGGGGTGATTGAGGAGTGATTGAGGGGTGACCGAAGGGTGACTGAAGGGTGACCGGGGGGTGACCAAGGCGTGACCGAGGGGTGACCGAGGGGTGACCGGGGGGTGACCGGGGGATGACCGGGGGGTGACCGGGGGGTGAGCGCTGCCTTCCAGCTGCCGCCATCCCGGCGCTCCCGCCGTTCCCAGCGGGATCATTGCCGGGACCGAGCAGCTGAGCCCGGACCGAACTCATCCCGCGCCGCCTCCGGGGACGGAGCGGGGGGAGGTCAGGGCCGGCCCCCGTCCCCAAATCCACGGAAAATGCCACTAGATGTCACCCCGCGCCTTCGGCTGCCGTGCGGGATGCGGGAATTCTCTCCCGGAGCTTCCGTCTCCGGGTTTTAGGGGCAGGGATGGAGGGAATGATCGGATCCCGGTTTTAGGGATGGAGGGAATGATCGGATCCCGGTTTTAGGGATGGAGGGAATGATCGGATCCCGGTTTTAGGGGTGGAGGGAATGATCGGATCCCGGTTTTAGGGGTGGAGGGAATGATCGGATCCCGGTTTTAGGGGTGGAGGGAATGAACAGATCCTGGTTTTAGGGATGGAGGGAATGATCGGATCCCGGTTTTAGGGGTGGAGGGAATGATCGGATCCCGGTTTTAGGGATGGAGGGAATGATCGGATCCCGGTTTTAGGGGTGGAGGGAATGAACAGATCCCGGTTTTAGGGATGGAGGGAATGATTGGATCCCGGTTTTAGGGGTGGAGGGAATGATCGGATCCAGGTTTTAGGGATGGAGGGAATGAACGGATCCCGGTTTTAGGGATGGAGGGAATGAACGGATCCCGGTTTTAGGGGTGGAGGGAATGAACGGATCCCGGTTTTAGGGATGGAGGGAATGAACGGATCCCGGTTTTAGGGGTGGAGGGAATGATCGCATCCCGGTTTTAGGGATGGAGGGAATGAACAGATCTCGGTTTTAGGGATGGAGGGAATGAACGGATCCCGGTTTTAGGGATGGAGGGAATGATCGCATCCCGGTTTTAGGGCACCCGTCACTTCCAGCTAAAGCCACCGAGAGCGGGGAGCGGAGCCGCATTCCCACAATTATCCCAGAGGACGAATCGCTGGGACGGGAAAAACTTAGCAGGGCCAGGAATGGGGACATGGGAACGGGGATTTGTTGGGATTACGGAATTCCGGGATGGGGTGGGTGGGAAAGAGCTCAAATCCCATCCCATTCCCAGCCCGGCCATGGGCAGTGACCCCTCCCACTACCCCAGTCCAGCCTGGCCTTGGACGCTTCCAGAGATGGGAATTGTGGATGGTAATTGGGGATTGTAATTGTGGATGGGACTGGAATGACTCTTCCCTCTTCCCAAGTGAATTCCCAGTGTTTTCTCCCAGCAGGAGTTTTGGGAACGAGCCGTTGGCACCTCTGGGGTTGTCACCCTGCACCTCCCAGATCCAGGGGGCCCAGGATCCCTTGGGATCAGCATTCCCAGGATTCCTTGGATCAAACAGGGCCTGATTTCCCTGGAAGTGCCCAAGGAACACGGGCACAGGGTTGGTTTCCATGTCAGGGATCACACCCAGATCCAGCCTCGACAATTCCACGATTCCCTGACCCCATTCCGCTCCCGGTGCCCAGTTTTCCCGGGAATGTCAGGCCGGGAAGGCGCCAGATGGGATTTTATAGGAGCCGCTATTCCGTGGTCGGAGCCAGCGGGCGCCGCGAGATTAATTCCGCGAAATTAATTGGGACAAGATTGAAAAGGAAATTAAGGCGCAGCTGAGTGAACATTCCCAACCTTTTCCCTCCTCCTCCTCCTCCTCCTCCTCCTCTCCCTCCCTCCGCTTCCAGCATCCGGAATTTATGGGGAAAAGCCCCCAGGATCCGCCGGCTCTCAGCGAGGGATTGGCCGCCGGAGCCGCACCTGGAGCCGCCGGAATTCCCGCCGGGATGGCGGGACGCGGCCCCGAGCTGCTCCCGGTGTCACCCCCTGATCAACGCGGCCCGGGGGGATCCCAGCACAGGCAATTCCCCAAATTCCCAAATTGGGAATGCCCCAAAAATGGGGAGTTCGCGCGTTTCCAGAGCGGGGTGCAGGATCAGGAGGGGGAGCTGCTCCTCCGGCCCCAAAGCAAGGCCCAAATAGGCCCCAGTCCCAGTAAAAACCAGTAAAATTGAGTAAAAACCAGTAAAAAAGAGCAAAACTCAGTAAAAGCCAGTAAAAACCAATAAAGCCCCCCTCCTGACATCATTAATTTCATTTTAAATCTTGATTTTGAGTGATTTTAGCATCTTTTGGCCTCGAAAATGAGCCCAAATCCCAAAAAGTTCCTGCTCCTACCTCACCAAGGACAAGGATGAAGTTGTCCCATTGGAAATGGGAAATAAAGTGGGGAACGAGCCAAATTCCCTAAAAATTCCCAAAACTTCTGGATTCTACCTTTCTGAGGATGTGGATGAGGTCACATGGGTGGGATTGGGAAACAAAATGGGGAGTGAGGCAAATTTCCGAAAAAATTCCCAAAAATTTGAGTGACATTTCCCAAAAAATTCCCCAAAAATTCCAGCTCCTACCTTGCTGAGGATGCGGATGAGGTCGCCCCGTTGGAAGGAGAGCTCATCGGGATTGTCTCCGGTGCAATCCCACAATCCCTGGTAATAATTGGAGTAATCCCAGTCGGAATTTTCTGGGGAAAAGGGAAAAAAAAAAGGTCAGGTTGGTGAGGGATTTATAGGTACAGGATCATGGAGGAGACTCCAGAGCCCAAAGTTCTCCTGGAGCTCCTCCAGGATGGGAAAGGCTCCAAATCCATTGGAATGTTGAATGTTGAGGTTGGGAAATGCCGGGAATTCCATGGAATTCCGTCACGGACTCACTGGCTGAGGGATGGGTGCTGCCCAAAGAGTTTGGTCCCAGTTTTCCAGGAATTCCTTTCCCAGGAATTCTCATCCCAGCTCCTGTCCTGCTTCCCAGAAGGAGAGGGGGGTGTTGGAGGCATCCTGGGAACATCTGTCGGATCCTGGGGGGTTGGATCCCAAAATTCCTATGGGATCCCTCCCTGGGATTTTTAGGGATAAAAATCCAACTTTGAAAATCCCGAACACCTCCTTTAATCCAGCAATTTTGGGAGATGTCTCACTTTGGGAAGAGTCTTCCCAAGTGGAATTTCACCATTGGGAAGAGTCAATTTCCAGGAATTCTCCCGTTCTCCACATTTTCCACAGCCCAGGATGCTCCAAAGTGGCCAAAATCCCAAAATATTCCCCCCATCCATATCCTGGGAACCCTTTGGATTGGGATCTCACCCTCCTCGCTCCCGAAATTCTCCTCATCCTCCGGGAATGGCGGCTCCAGCTCCTCATCTGGGGAGGGAAAAAACAGTGGGAAAATCCGGGGAAAACAGAGGGGAAATCAGGGAAAATCTGGGAATGTTGTGGCTCCAGCAGGCCCAGGGCTCTGAGAGAATCCTGGGAATAAAAAATTCCCGGATTGATGGTGGGGAGAGGAAGTATCGGAGAAGATTTTCATGGAAAACCAGAATTCTTGTGGGCGCTGGGAAAAACAAATCCCTGAATTCCGAAATCTGGGAATGTTGTGGCTCCAGCAGGCCCAGGGCTCTGAGAGAATCCTGGGAATAAAAAATTCCCGGATTGATGGTGGGGAGAGGAAGTATCGGAGAAGATTTTCATGGAAAACCGGAATTGTTGTAGGTGCTGGGAAAAACAAATCCCTGAATTCCAGATTTGGGAATTTCCATGGGAAGAGAGGAAAAGGAGATTCCAGAGGGGAAATTCCAGGCTGGGAATGCGAGGAAGGAAGGAGGAATTAGGGAGGAAGAGGAGGAGGAAGGGACGGAAAGAATGATCCCAGGGAGAAGGTGGATTCCAGAGGGGATGGGAAAGCTTGGAAAAATGGGAAGGGAACGGAGCTGCGTGGAGCATCCCGAATATTCAGCCTCATCCCTGGAAAAGCCATTTCCCATCCATGGAAAAACCATTTCCCATCCCACAGACATCCCTGCCTGCTCCTTGTCCCCTTCCCGGGCACGTTCCAGGAGGATTTGGAGCTGGGAAATCCAGGAATGGGATCCATGGGGCCCGGAGCAGCCCCTCCCCACCATCCAGGGGTTGTTCTGGAATCAAATCCGACGGATCCAAGGGTTTTCCGGCAATCAAATCTGATGGATCCAAGGGTTTTCCGGGAATCAGGCCTGGAAGTGAAGCTCTGCCTTCCCAGTCCCACCCAACACTTGGATCCTCCAGGACTGAATCAAAGGGAAAAGCTGGAAAACTTTGGAAAATTCCACTTCTCCCTCCCACCCCACTTTTGGGATCCTCATCCCGGGGGTCCGGAGCCGCCGGCGCATCCCGGGAAGCTTCGGAATCTCTGCGGAGCCGAGTTTTTAATGGAGCAATTTGATTCAATTTTCCAGTCGATAAAATTCCCCGGCAGCGCTCGGCGCTTCCGAACGGACACCTTCACTCCTGATTTAACATTCCCATCGAATCCTTCCCGGGAAATTGGAAAAATTTATCACCTGTGAAATTTTATTTGGCCTCGGCCGCGTCTGTTTTTGTAAAACTTCATTAACGCCGAGGAAATTATCTCTCCGTGGCTTTTCCCGGTTTTTTTATTCCCGTCTCCCGGGTTTTTTTGCCGTGGTTTTTGGTCAGGAGGTAAAGGAGGGAGAAGGGGGCGGAGGGAGGATGGGATTGGGGCTTTTTCTGCGGTTTTTGGGGGTTTGGGATGGAGGAAGATCCGTGAGTTGGGTTATCCCAGGAGAGCTGGGAAGTCTAACCCATGGAAACCCATGGAAATGCATGGAAGTCCATGGAAACCCATGGAAACCCATGGAAATGCATGGAAGTCCATGGAAACCCATGGAAACCCATGAGAATCCATGAAAACTTGTGGAAAACACATGGAAATCCATGAAAATCCTATGGAAATCCATGGAAACCCATGAAAATCCATGAAAACCCTTGCCCAGCTACCTCTGGAAAGCTGGAAAACCTAATCCATGGAAACCCATGAAAATCCATGAAAACATGTGGAAAACACATGGAAATCTCTGAAATCCTACGGAAATCCATGGAAACCCATGGAAAACGATGAAAACCTATGAAACCCCATGAAAATCCATGAAAATCCATGAAAACCTATGGAAAACACATGGAAATCCGTGAAATCCTATGGAAATCCATGGAAACCCATGGAAAACCATGGAAAACCCATGCAACCCAGTGAAAATCCATGAAAATCCATGAAAACTCTGAGGGCTGCTCCAGCAGAATCTCCTGATCTGAAATTCCCAGAAAAACAAGGTTTGGATTTGGGAGGTCCATCCAAAGCTCGGAATAAAGAAATGGGATAAAACCTTGGAATTTTGGGTGTGTTAAAAACGGAGATGTGGGAAAGGCGCTGGTGTGGGAGCAGCCAAGGTTTCCTCTCATTTTTCCAAGAAAAAGTTGGGAATTTGGGAGCTCACCTGGCAGCACCTCGTAGATGTCGTCGCCTTCCAGCTCCGGCTCCTCTGGATTCAGGGTGGAATTTTGGGAATTGTTCATGGAATCGGAGCTGTCCCGGTCCTTGGAGAGCTCTTCCTCCTCCTCATCCTCCTCTTCCTCTTCCTCCTCCTCCTCCTCATCCTCATCGCAGGGAATGGTCAGGGAGCTGAGGTCTGCCGGGAAACAGGGAAAAAAGGGATGGAAAAGTGGGAATTCTCCCGATTCCAGAGGGGTGGGATGGAGATCCAAATCCTGCACCCAAGAACAGGCAAAAAACCAAGGAAAAACTCAAGGAAAGATGGAAAATCCCAAGAAACAACCCCAAATTCAGGGATGAATCCTGAAGGGATGCAGTAGGAGGGGAGGGGAGCTGGAGAATTCCAGAGGTTCTGGAAAGTTCCAAAGGTTTCCAGAGAATTTCTGGAATTTTCTCTGTGTCCAGCTGGAGCAACTCCGTACCATTCTGGGTGGGGGTGGATGGAAAGCCCCGATCCAGGTGGGAAAACGTTTCCCAAAGATCCCAAAAACCGGGAGCCGCTCCAGACTCACCCCTCAGGAGGAACTGGATCTGCTCCACCCAATCCTGGGCCTCGGCCGGGCTCGGAGCTGTGAACTGCCGGGAGAATCCGTTATCCCGGGATTTGGGATTTGGGATTTGGGATGAGGGGACAGGGATCCACCATTCCCAACCCCGGGGCACTGGGAAAAGCCATTCCCAAGATTTATCTCCCAGCTCCAAGCGGGAGCAGAGCACAGCTGGAATATCTCAGGAAAGCTGGCAGGCCTAATCCATGGAAATCCATGAAATTCCATGAAATTCCATGAAAATCCATGGAAACCCATGGAAATAAATGGAAATCCTAGCCAGACTATCCCAGGAAATCTGTCAGGTCTAATCCATGGAAATCCATGGAAATCCATTCCCATTTCTCCCCCGATATTCCTGTTTCACCTCCCCAAATTCCCATTTTCCCTCCCAATCCCTTTTTTTTTCCCCCAAGAATTCCCGTTTTCCCCTAAAATTTCCCATTTCCCCCCCAAAATTCCCACTTCCCTGCCATTTCCCACCTCATAGGAGCGTTTTCCGGGACAGAGCAGCTGGAAGCAGCATTTTTTCCGGGAATCTTTCCGGAGCTGGGAATCCAGGTGGGCCTGGTAGCGCTCGATGGGAAAGGAGCCTTTGGGCTGCTTGCCTGGAAAAGGGAATTGGGCAAAATTTGGGATTTTCCAGCTTTTTTCCATCCCTGGATGCGGCTCAGGGGGGTTTATCCATGGAGGGCAACTGAGGCACGCGGCTGGAAAATTCCAGGAAACGGGAAAGTCCAGAAAATTCTGGAAAAAGAAATGGATGGAAAATCTGGGAAAGGAAAAATGGCCACAAAATTCAGGGAAAGGGAAATGGCCGGAAAATTCCGGGAAAGAGGAATGGCCAGAAACTTCCCTTTGCTCCAATGGAAAAACCCCAAATCCAGCTGGGATTTCCCTTTCCAGGAGTTGGGAATTGCAGTTTTCCACGGTCAGATCTCTCTTTTCCGCCCAAAAGTTGGGAATTCTTTTCCCACTCACTTTTTTCGTTGGCGTAGTAGAGGAAATTCCGTTGGGTGAGGACGCACCAGCGCTTGTGCCACTCGGAGCCGAAAAAGCTGGGCTCTGGAAAACAAGGAAAAATAGAAAAAATTGGGGAAAAAAATGGGAAAAATCAGGAAAAGCAGGAATAAGACTCAATTTCATTCCTTTGGGATGCGTTTCTCATGGATTCAATGCGGCCAGGGAACACGTTTAGGGTTAAATCTCGGGGAAATGTTGTTGAACCAGAGATCAGCGGGAGTTAAGCCAGGCCTAACTCTGAGCTGAGCTCAGGGAAAAGCCAGGAGCTGTTTCTGCCTCTTCCCATCAATAATTCCCGAGAAAATCCCATTAGGGAAGGGAATAATTTGTGGCTTTCACGGGAAAAGAGAGATAAGGCCGGGGCTGATTCCGAGCCCGGCTCTTATCTCCGCATTAAATGTGGGATGATCCCGAATCCCTGGAGCTTTTCCCGGCTTTTTCTCCTCATTAGTTTTGCCCTCCAGGCCTGGGCCGGGCTTAATTTAATTCCAGGATTTAATTTGGATGCTCTGGAAGAGGGAATGAGCCGGGCAAGGCGTTGGAAAAACCTGGAAGCTCCTGCCGGTGGAAATCTGTGGATTTCCTGTGTTTTTCTGGGTTTTTTAGGCTGGAAATTTGGGATTTTCCCACATTTTCAGGTGGCAAGCCCTGGATCTTCTCCTGGAATTCCAGGTTTTACCTCGGGATCTTTTCTCCAGGTATCCTTGCTTCAAAATATTCCAGGAATCCTGGATGGGCCGGGGGGTCTCCTCCAGGCCTGCAGGGAGCAAAGCAAAGGAAAACCTTGGAATTTGCCATTCCCATTCCCACATTCCAAGGTTTCCAGCCCCCTCCTTTGGGGAAGAAGCGTTGGGGGTGGAAATCCCAGTTTATCCCGATCCCTCTGATATTCCCACGATTGGGAATAGGGAACAGAGTCTTGGAATTCCGGGATTCAGCAGGGTGAGGCTGGAGCTGGCCTTTTTCCCTGGAATCTGGTTGGGTTATGGAAATCCCAATTTCCACGGGAAATCCAATTCCCATGGAGAATCTGCCTATGGAATCTCATCCCGGAGCCTGGAAGGGCTCTGCCATTCCCAGCTCATCCCAAAAACCTAGGAAACCTGGGACAGTGGGAAGTGATCCTGGATGAGCTTTAGGATCCCTTCCATCCCAAATTATCCCTTAAAAAATTCACATAAAAATGAAAAACATGGAAATAAAAATATGAAAATATAAAAATATGGATCCATAACTTGAAAATCCCTGGAATTCTTTCCCTGTTCCCCAATTCTTCCCTAATCCCAACATTCCGACCCCGGCCCTGCCCGGCCGAGCCCTCCCTGATCCACAATGAGCTGGAAAGTTCTAAATCATTCCCTAATGGAGCGTCCACCCCATCCATCAGCGGGCGGGAATTCATCCCCATTAATTCCCTAATCCATGATAAACTTCCCGTCCTTTCCTGTCCGCGCGGGGACTCCGTAAATCCCGACTTTTGCTCCGGCTCCACCGGAGCGTTCAGGTGTGCTCCGACCATTCCTCGTTAGCCCGACGGCCTCATTTTCCCGGGAATGGCCTTGGAGGCCTCGTTTTCTGGGAATGGCCTTGGAGGCCTCGTTTTCTGGGAATGGTGAGGCCTTGGAAGTCCCATTTTCTGGAGAATGGCCTCGGAAGCCTTGTTTTCCCAGGAATGGCCTCGGAAGCCTTGTTTTCCCGGGAACGGCCTTGGAGGCCTCATTCCATATGCAGCAAACTTGGGAATTCTGCAGGCGGCAAACATGGGAAAAAGTTTGGAATTCTGGGAAAACGTGGGAATTCTGGAGGCAACAAATTTGGGAATTTTAGATACGGCAAAATTGAATTCCGGAGGCAACAAACTCAGGAATTGCGGAGGCGAGAAACTTGGGATAACCCCTCGCAGCGGGGCAAAATCGGGGGGAACCCCGCATTTTTTGGGATTCCGTCCAAGACGACGTTTAGCAGGGCTGGGGAGCAGCTTCCATAAATCCCGGCTCATCCCGGGAATCCGCGGAACGCCGGGATCAGCCCTCTGCCCCCGCATCCGGCCGGGAAGCGCGGCCGGAGCTCGACCGCGGCTTTTCCGTGTTCCCGATAAGGAACTCATCCATCAGGGCCGGGGGAAGGCAGAAGGGCGGCAACGGGGTTGGATTTATCGGGAATGTGTCATTCCCTCCACACGCCCCGCGGGATAAATGGATCCTCCATCATTCCCGGCCGCTCCGCACCTGCGGCCGCGCGCGCTCCGGGATGACCGGAGCCAAGGATTTGATGGATTTTCCCGACTTTAATGAACGTAAACAAACAAAGGAGAGAGGGAAACATCAAATAATTCCCGTGACAGCTCCCAAAAGGAGCCGGGAGAGCGGGAAGCGCTTCCCAAAGGGAGCCGCGTTTGATGTGGGATCGGGATTTGTAAACAGCGGCAGCTCCGGATCGCGCCTTATCCAAATATTTCCCTTTCCCAGCGCCGGCTGAAAGTCGGGATTGACGGCTTTGGACTCTTCAACTTTCAGCTTTCACCCCGCGGCTCCGGAGGGAGGGAGGCAGACCCCACCCCCCATTCCCGCTGGAATTTGTTCCCTAATTTCCCCTTGGAAAAGCTGATACGGGGCAGCTGGAGATCGAACTCCCGGTGCTGCTTTCCCCCGGCATTCCCGGTTTTCCAGAGGGTCCCAAACCCCTCCAAGGACCTCTCAGCCCCAAAGGAGGAGGGAGGGGGGGAGTGACTTCAATTCCTGCCGGGATTTGCTGCCTAATTCCCCCTTGGAAAAGCTGATATGGGACACCTGGAGATCAAACTTGTCCCGCTCTTTCCGCTCATTCCCGGTTTTCCAGAGGGTCCTGAGCCCCTCCAAGAACCCCGCGGCCCCAGAAGGAGCCAGTGGAGGAGGCAGAGAGGGAATGGGAAGGATGAGCCCCATTCCTGCAGGGATTTATTCCAAATCTCCCCATGGAAAAGCTGATCTGGAAACCTGGAGATCAAACTGGAGCCACTCATTCCCGCTTTTCCAGAGGTTTCCCATTTTCCTCCGGTCACAGCCCTCATCCACCCCATCCCTTTTTTCCATCTGGGTCAGGAGCCACCCATGGATCAATCCCAGAGGGATGAAGCTCCCCTGGCCGTGGATAAACAGGATTTGGGATGCTGAGCCTCGGGAGCAAATCCCAAATCCCGGTGGGATCCTCTCGCCCAGCCACCCCCTTTTCCTAATTCCCAACATGGGCAGCAATCCCAGGGAAAATCCCAAATTTTTGAGAGCTGAGGGTGTCACAGAGTGGGAATTCCAGGTTTAATCCCTAGCTGAAATTTGGGAATAAAAGGAAGGGAATGAAAGGACCTTCCTGCCATAAATTCCCACCGAGAATTCCCACCGGGACTCCGGGGTTACATCCTGGCTCTTTAAAAACGTATCCCAAGAAAATCAAGCACCTCCATCACCTTCCCGGGAATATTTACAGCCTCTGGGAAGGGCTCGCCAGCAGAATTCCCCTTTGGAATTCTCCAGGAGCTGGCAAAGGTCAGCGCAGGGATGGATGTGGCTGAAGGATTTCCCTCCCGAGATTCCAAGGCCGGGAGATCCCAACCCTGGAGCTGCTCCCAAGGGATTCTGCCGGGCTTTGGGGTCGCGTCCCGGGGCAGGAATCCAGGGAAAAGCTGTGTCATTCCAAGATTTTGCCACAAGGAAGCAGCAGAAGCTCAGGATTGGAGCCGGGAGAGGGAGCGGCCCCACCGGGAGCAGCAGCGGGGGGCTGGGATCCCAAATCCCAAATTTCCCATCCCAAAATGGGGATGTGAACCCCTGCTGGGGATCCCAATTCCCAGATTTCCTATTCCAAAAAGGGGGCTGGGAATGCCGGCTGGGATCACAATTCCCAAATTTCTCATCCCAAAAAGGGGCTGTGATGATCCCTAAAATCCCCTGTCCCAGGGGGCTCCCCCCTTTTCCCCAGTTTTAGGGTGGCAGCTCCGTATCCAATTCCGACTGGGAATTCCAAGGGAAGCAGATGGGGGTTGGCAGGTCCCCGTCCCTGTCCCCATCCCTGTCCCTTTTCCCATCTCCATCCCTATCCCCATCCCTGTCCCCATCCCAATCCCTCCAAACACCTTTTCCCTGATTTTAGGGTGGCAGCTCCACGCCCCCATTCCAGTTAGGAATTCCAAGGGAAGCGGATGGGGGTTGGCAGGTCCCTGTCCCTGTCCCCATCCCTGTCCCTTTTCCCATCCCATCCCATCCCATCCCAGTCCCCCCAAACCCCTTTTCCCATTTTTGGGGTGGCCTCTCCGTGCCCCATTCCCGCTGGGAATTCCACGGGAAGCTCCAGCCCCGCTCCCTCCCTTTCCCTCTCCTGACCTCATCACTTTTCCCCCCCCGCTCTCCAAAAGTGCTGAGCACGGCTTTCCCGGGAATTATTTATCCGAGGGAGAAATGATTAAAAAAATTATTGGGAAAAAAAGGGAGATAAAACAAAACATCGATCGCTCCGGCCGCATCCGCCTCTGGGAGCGCTGGGAAGTGACAGCGGATAAAGGATGGCGGGGCCGGAAAAACAGGGAACTGCTTTTTATGGCAGCTCGGATTCCCACAAAGCCATAAATCCGGGATGTGATGGATCGGGAGAAAAGCTTCCCATCCCATCCCATCCCATCCCAGTTCCCCCAAACCCCTTTTCCCATTTTTGGGGTGGCCTCTCCATGCCCCATTCCCGCTGGGAATTCCGCGGGAAGCTCCAGCCCCGCTCCCTCCCTTTCCCTCTCCTGACCTCATCATTTTCCCCCCCACTCTCCAAAAGTGCTGAGCGCGGCTTTCCCGGGAATTATTTATCCGCGGGAGAAATGATTAAAAAAATTATTGGGAAAAAAAGGGAGATAAAACAAAACATCGATCGCTCCGGCCGCATCCGCCTCTGGGAGCGCTGGGAAGTGACAGCGGATAAAGGATGGCGGGGCCGGAAAAACAGGGAACTGCTTTTTATGGCAGCTCGGATTCCCACAAAGCCATAAATCCGGGATGTGATGGATCGGGAGAAAAGCTCCACACGGGGTGGGTTTGGGGAACTTTGGGTAGGAATCCTGGTGGGCTCAGAGCTCCAGGACCCCAAATTCCAGGTGCGATCGGAACTCCAGACCCCAAAATCCAGGTGCGATCGGAACTCCAGACCCCAAATTCCAGGTGGGATCAGAACTCCAGACCCCAAAATCCAGGTGGGATCAGAACCCCAGACCCCAAATTCCAGGTGGGATCAGGGCTCCAGGACCCCCAAAATCAAAGCTGGATCAGGGCTTGGGATCCAGGGGGGACATTCAGTTCCTATCCCAAAATCGCGGTTGGATCAGGGCTCCAGTACCCAAATTCCAGGTGGGATCAGGGCTCCAGGACCCCCAAAATCAAAGCTGGATCAGGATTTTGGGATCCAGGAAGAACATTCAGCCCCCATCCCAAATTCCTGGTTGGATCAGACTCCAGGACCCCAAAATCCAGGTGGGATCAGAGCTCCGGACCCCAAAATCCCAGTTGGATCAGGGCTTGGAATCCAGGGGGGACATTCAGTTCCTATCCCAAAATCCCGGTTGGATCAGGGCTCCAGGACCCAAATTCCAGGTGGGATCAGGGCTCCAGGACCCAAATTCCAGGTTGGATCAGGGCTCCAGGACCCAAATTCCAGGTGGGATCAGGGCTCAGGACCCAAATTCCAGGTGGGATCAGGGCTCCAGGACCCAAATTCCAGGTGGGATCAGGGCTCCAGGACCCAAAT